TACTTCATCAATCTGCCTTTTCTGCTCCCCACTCTGTCTCTGGTGAAGCCTCTCACCGTTCCTGCACATCTGGCTTATACCCCAGTTCTGTATGAATAAATAAATCTTTTAAAAAGAAAAAAAAAAAACTCTTCTTAATTGCCTCAATCCCCTTCTTCTCAACTGAGTTATTCCTTTCTAAATGAACAGCTTCCTTTTTTTTTTTTTTTTTTCCAGGCAAAAGCTATGGTACTGAAGTGGATTGGATGGACTCTACTTCTGAGGAAGTTGCTCTTTGGGAGAAGATGGTAAATTCGCCCAACACTTGGATTGAAGCGACCCTGCCTCTCAGAATGCTGCTGATTGCCAAGATTTCCAAATGAAGTTAAAGTCCACTGACTCCTCCACTGGGAACAACTAAATAAGGTGGACCTGATATGAAAATCTGACTGCAAGCAGAAATTCTTCACTTCTCTCTCTTGCTGCAAATGAATGCTACACAGCATGGGAAAGTCAGCCTACATGTGTCTCTTTGGCTATAGGCATAGAAGATTTAAATAATAACAAAAAGTGTAGCTTATTTGGAACTGCAACATTAAAAAGGGGTTTGGGAAATATATGAGATTCAAATTGTTGCAGCTACTTCAAGGAAAAAAGCTGCCAAAATACATTAAATGTGGGGTGTTATAAACCAGCAAAATATTGTAGTTTGTGGCCATGCATTTTACACTACAATCTTGTCTACGGTTAAGAGGCTGCCAAATGATCACTGAAAACTCTTGCAAGAACTAAAAATGTGTAAATTGTGGAAAAGAGAGATAGCTATTCCTACGAAAGGAAGGTGGAGAGAGCAGACTATCAATTACAGTAAAGAATTTGATCACAAGAAAACTATTTGCTCTGTCATCTATATTAAAACATGGAATTCCATAGTAAGGCAATGAGACTGAATTTACTGCATGTAGTACTGCCCTCTGACACTGCTCTCTCCTTTCCCAGTGTTAAACAGAAGTCTTAAATATGCTTTGGTGCCACCCCTTGGCCATAGATGGAATTCAGCTTTTGGCTTAATGTTCTTTGTCAGCCTGTATTTTTAAATAGAGTACATATATATATGTAAAAGAAAAAACCCCACAAAAACCTTGCATATATAAGGTTCTGTTTTTCTTATAACTACAAAAGCAGCATGAGAGTTATCACAGACATGCTTTGCAGCGAAGTTTAATTAAAATGTTAATTGTTAAATTTATATTGTACTTCCTATGTATACATTTCATAAACTATTTTGTAAAAACCCTCAGTCAAAATAAATTATTATGATTTAACTATGTGTGGCAAATTAACCTGACTTATAATTTTAAAAGAAACACTCTATGTTAGGAATTCTAAAACCTAAATTCCCTCACAAAGGTAAAAAACTACTGCTGGGATAATATTTCCTCCAGAATCTTGCAACTCTGGGCATCATTTCTTTTACATGGGAAGCTCTAGCTATGTTATTGAGAATAGTAGAATTTTTTATTTTTGAAATATAATTAAAGGGTTTTTTGTTTTTGTTTTAATTTTTTTAAAGATTTATTTATACAGAACAGGGGTACAGGCCAGAAGGGCAGAGGCATTGAGAGGATTCACCAGAGAAAGAGTGAGGAGCAGAAGAGGCAGACCAACGAAGTACACTGCTGAGGGGAGCAGCAGGCGATATGGGAGAGGTCTGCCGTGCTATGTGGGTCACCTCTGGGCCCGAGATCAAGCTCGTGTTGAACTGGCTTTAGCTTCGTAGTGCTATGCTTTAATCTACTGCGCCACCCGGAAGGGCCCTATAATTAAAGGGTTTTAATGATAAGTTAACAGCTATCTTTGAAAGATTTGGGGATCATAATACACAAAATATTTATCTCCCTATAAATCCAACCAGATTGCCTTTCTCAAAACAAGCGCTAATTTAAGGTAGGTTAGAAGTCTGAATGGTGGGGGGATGGGACCTTATAACAGGCAGCTCACAAATGTCAATGGAAGCAACTAGATGCTTCTTTCTTTAAACAGATGCTAAAACCTTCTACCACCTTGTAGGTTAGAGCCACAAGATGAGAACATGACTTCCCATTGTCTCTCTGGGTCTTTTAGGGGTGTGTTTAGCCTTGTTTCCTCTAACTGTCCTTTTTTAATTATTTTTTTATTGAAGTCATATAATATTTTATAAATTTCAGGTGAGAGTCATTATAAATCAATGTCTGTATACTGCATTAAGTCTGCCTATCCTTCAATCAGTTCTCATGGTGGAAAAGAGCAAAATGAGTTGAGTGCAGCCACACTTCCAAGGTAAGCTGCAACAGCAGTAGAAGTAGGAACAGTGTTGTAATTCCTGCCACTTCATAGGGCAACTACTTTCTCAGTCCTCTTGGTTACCCTGTCAGCCACTTGTCAACATCCAGCCAACTCCAAAGCACCAGTGCCACTGATTCTAGTATTTCCTAGCCTACTCCCAGCTCAGATCTCTCACCTTCAAAATACAAGCATAGACTATGGAACCACCCCATTTGCATGTGTCCCAGCACTTCTTACTGCTTCAGGATGTCCAAAGGTAATTCATGTCATACTATTTCTAAAAGAGAAAATAAAAATTATAAATTTAATCTCACTTAACTACAAGAAGAACATTAAGTGGGAATTATATGCATTCTATAGTATAAACCCCTCAATTCTTTAGTGAATTCAAGTTGACAGACTTTTT